GTCACTCGGCAACGGAAGATACATTTCTCAGATCTAGAAAGAGGGCTCCTTATGAAACCTTATGGTCATTGCAGTACCATTCGAATGGAAATTAGTAAGTCGCCACAGTGACGGGTATTGGATCTATCCTTCAATTGTTTTGACAGGAACTTGATTGAAAATAGGTGGGATATGTAAGTTTGACACCCCTGATATGACGCAGAGACTTTGAACCAACTGAGCAGTACGGATCGCGATCAGAAAAGCTGGAAACATCATGCTACCTGGGTATCTTTTAATTCTAAGGCTAATTCCACTGTACCATTCTTTACAAAAGCCAATGTTGCTGTATTGATGTCTACCTAAAGAGAAGAACGAAGGAAACCGTGGCGTATAGTTATTTGAACGCTGAATACTCAGCTGGCCAATAGTGTGCCAGTAGTGTGGATCACTAAAATTCATCAATCTACACAACGAAGACACCTGTCGTTGTTCCTCTTTCTTTCACTCCGCTTTTCCATAAAAGTCCTGAACAAAGAAAATAATCAAAAAGAACCTTTTCTATACCTGCTTGTGATAACTTGTTAATGAGAGTTCATAGGAGGCCATTCTCTTCTCAATTTGTTTTATTTTAATAACATTACGACCAGCTATTGCAGCAGCACCAGTTACCGAGATTTACGAAATCAAAGAATAGTCGTCTATATCTCGAGTGTGGATAAAGATAAGCACAAGCCTCAATTTTACGGCCAGCCTTGATAGGAATTAATGGGCAATATGCTGCTGTCATGGGAATAATGACGGAGAAATTGGCAATATGGTCATTCGGAACATATTGTCCAACATGTTGGATAAACGTCGCAGTCTGTGGTTGATGCATGATACTGGAATCAGGCAATAATAATATTCCACCATTGTATACAAGTAACGTAGTGATTAAAACCAATAATATCATAGGAATACTAACACTCAGTGACATTTTGCGAATAATAATAATTTATTGTAATAAATTTCTCCTCGACTAACATAGAAAAGTGATATGATCGTGTCAATATATAGTTTTATTCCATTAACGTCTTATTAGTGAACTTCGAATAACCAACTAGATTTTTTTTGTGAACAGACCAGTAGGAAAAAGGAAATACAGCCGTAAATATATAGAGAGTGATGCACTATAAATAAAAATCATACATACAAGTTATCTGTGTGAAAAACACTTAAATAGAAAAAAAGCGTGAAATATGAAAAAATGTGAAAACAGCGTCTTAATTTTACACAGCACATATACTTAATCGATTATACTGTTGTTAAACAGTTCAATATACTTAAAATAGAATTCAATTTGTCTTAGTCAATAATCTGTATATTCAGAAAAAATGTTGCATAACAGAAATTTCTTTGGTATAAAATAGACTTCGATTAAAGACCACCTGTACCATTTGCTTATTAAAGAAAGTATGGTAGTAAAAATTATACAGTATCTGTTCTATTGTTGAATTGTGGTCAAAACGTGTTATTCTATTGTCTGATTAATATTGAATATTCTCTTTATATAATTAATAATTAATAGTATCTTTATATAATTTCTTTTATTCGCATTAACTAATGATTAAAAGTTTCACAAAAAGCTTTAGAAAGAAAAGTAGCGATGTAGACAGATGGAATGAAGTTGGAGATTTGAATGGAATCAAAAATTCGTTCGTCCATCATTTGTCGTTATGGATTTCTCTGCAGCCTTACTTAATTCGCTATTAAAAGAGTTTAATAATGAGGATATAACTTTCATCTGCGTCGTTGTTTTCTTGTTATAACTCGATGCTATACATTTAAACAAGTCATTTCATTTACATTTATTCGTTTCTGCTGTGCTCATGTCATGCATAGTTTTTCTCGCAGCTTATTGAAAATGCAATTAAAGAAAGATAAACGACACAGCTATTCGCAGTATTACTTAATGTAAATTCATTTGATACAGCCATTAAAGTAATGAACACCATTATGCATATTTATGGCGATCCAACAGCTGTTCGTACTAACGATTGTATTCAACAATTAATTACAGTGAAGGATACACTTCAGTTTGATATAGATAAATGTTTAGACGACGAAAATGTAATGAAAGATAATGACGATAAGATGGAATTAGACAGTGTTGACGAATTATTACATTCTTCAGATGCCATCATTCACCAATCACCTTTCAATACTGAAATGAGAAAAAGAATATCTTTGATGGATAAACATTTGAATAAAAGTACAAAATTTAATAATATTACCAATTCCAATTTTTCTCGTCGTATTGTCTTATTATATTATCGGTGGTTTGCATATTTGCCATTATTTTCGTGTCTCTTATCAGACTTTAAAGAACGGTAAGAAATTCGTTCATTCACTCTACCTCTTTAAATTAAAGGAAGTGTTTTGAATGACATAAATTCATTTAGATATGCCAAGGACAAACAGGTGACGGTAACAGATAAAACACTAGGACGTGCCAGGCTATCAAATGCCGTCGCCGAGAGTTACTTTCAAATCATCAAAGAAAGTATATTACAAAATAAAAGACGATTACGACCAGTAGATGCTCTTATAAAAATCAATCAGAGTACACTGGCTAGACTAAAAGCCGGTCGTTATGGAGTGTCACAAAAAGCATCAACACGTAAAGCTCGTCCTGTTGATGTATTGATACTAGAGGTTTGGCGAAAACGAAGAACTCAGTCTAGGGGTGCATATTTTTGTTAAACTCCTGGTGAAGATAAACGTCCTGGTCTAAAGTACGTATTTGCTGCCGGTTTCATAATTTTCGCAAACGCTTGACATCTTCATTCATTTCAGAGTACGACGAAGTAAATCTGATGATACTCTTCAACACAAGACAAAAAAGAATTCTTTAGATAGCTTAACAGATTCTCACCTGAGGTAAACGTCCTAAATTTTCAAAAGAATGCCAAATGTCTGCATTTGTTTTCTTTCCAGTGAGGATCATAACCTATCGATTAATTCTGAATCTGATAATTCGTGGAATTATAGTAATAACAATGTTAGTTGCAATAATAATATTAATATTAATAATGTTCTGAATATAGATGATAATGATGAGATATTAAATACAAGTGTTAAATCGAATGACAACCAATTACCTCCACTTCTCAATGATCATGAATCAGAAATGAATTTTAATGATACTGCTATGAAGGATGGTATTTTCCCTGTTCTTCAGCACTTGTAATCAAAGCAGCTCTGTCAACTCTGAGCCTTAATTCTACTGATAGCCCAACTACAGAGACAAGAAGAAGTTTACGTCAATGTACAATACCAAAACAATATAATGACTATGATATGCCAGCTCGTTCCTCTAGCACATCGGCATTATCTCCAAAACGAACTGCTTCTTCGTTAACCGTTACTTCATTATCTAATTGTTCGTCTTCTGATAATTCATTAAATCATAAGCCACGACCTCCACCAACAAAGAAAAATCAGAAAAGACAAAAAATTAAAGAATCGCCTAAGCAGTGGCTGAAATCGGAACATCCATGTACAGCTTTAATTGAAAAAGTAACAATTCCTTGGCCTAAATATTCTATTAAAAATGCAATTTTTAACGGTACAAAATATTCTGTTATTAATACATGTCCATTAGACTCAGCATTATTTGTTCTATATTATGCCTATGTTTCTTATTCATGCCAGTTTCGAGCCTTCGTGGAACGAAACCTATCTACTGTAATTTACCTAAGACATTTCAGCTGGTGGAAAGTGATGGGTGGGATACAACTCGTTTATATTGGCTTAACATTCATAAAAGATTAAATTCCTCAACAGCAAATGGCAACAACCAATATAATTTATTTGGCACTGTTGATGAAAATGTTTTTAGATATGTTCGAACAATGCAGGAGTATGAAAACCCA